GCGGTTTGAGATGAACCTTATTTCAAGTTGATGTCGAATATTTAACAGTTGAGTATATTCTCATGCATTTTCTTTACAAATTAATATGATTAGTAGGTATACTTCTGAGATGAGCATTAAGTTTACAGTCATTATCATTACATTAGATATAGCAAGCCACCGCCCGATGCGGCACCGCACTTTTGAAATACCCTTTGAAAACCCAGACGATCTTAGAGCCGTAATTAAATCTGCCTTTTTACGACCACGTATAGTTTAATTTTGATGTCACTCTTTGGTCAGTATTTCAGTACCGGTCTCGAGCATGCCTGCTTAGTAAAGCTGGCAGCTTTGGAGAACAGGACATCAGCAGACTTTCCACGGCTTATATTTTATTATCGTACCCGTACTACGTTCCCTAGAGAAGCGACATGCGCGTTGTACTTTTAAAGATACTGAGTTTCGTTGACGTTTGCCAAAGCGGACTGTTTAAATTTACTTATTTTCACATCAAATCGTCAAAATATTTCCGATATTTCGAAAAATGACTGATTTTTCCAATATTTACAGCACCACAAGCGTGTCGTCACATTATTTATTGTGCTTCAAAAATATCAAATAATTCAAATTATTATCGTCAAATCACTTATAGAGATAAATTAATTGATACCGTTTGGCTCATCTCTGATTGAGAAAAATTGAGAAAGTTAATTTCTTACATAGTAGAGTGACTGGTACTTTTCGACTCCAGATTTTTTGTCACAATTCAGATCGGTTACACTGCATTGTCTGTCAATAACCTTATTAGAATTATTCTAACAATAAAACATGCAAGATTAAGTAGACACAGAATTATACATCTGATCACGGTAATTCGCCGATTCGAAAGCGAAATGTCATTAGAGTCATTACAACATGAACTGAGACCAGAAAAACCGATTGGTTTGAACGATCTACTGCCTAGCTATTTGTTAGGCTTCAGCAATCCCAGCTCGTAGGAAATGTTTAACATTTTCATGTAAATATTAAGGTACATGTGGGTACAGTACACTCCGCGATACGAGACTTAAAGACTTCATGAAGATGTCATAAACGACGTCGCGAAACGCATTGTCTACATTACATACACCTATTTAATTGAGAAAACACTGAACATTTAAACATTCAACAGTAAAGAGAGTTTGAAACACTGAGCTGTAAACATTCAACATTGAGAATTTAATATTCATTCACTGCACTATAGTTACACAGTTGTGCGACTAGTCGCGGCGTGAACCGACCCTTCAAACAGTTGCACATGAAGTGTCGCAAAAGAAGACTCTTTCCCCATAGCTGCAATAGCAGAAGGTATAGTCCAAGTAGACTATGAATGCAAATTTGCGAGGCATCAGTCTCACGCGTGTCTTGCGACAATTTATGTGAGTTTCGTCCTCTACGATTAGCCACTTGTACCCGTTACAGGATGACCTTTTTAAGCATTCCTAGTCCGTCTGGACTATACCTATCCTAAAAGGTTGTCGTATGGTGACTTCCATGCCTAATAATCCGAATTGAAGGTGACACAACCTGGACCTTTCATCTTCGGTACTGCGGCAGTCTATACGTATCCCAAAAGGTTGTTGTATGGTCACTTCCACACCTAATGATCCGGATTGAAGTACGAACCAGGACGTTTCGTGTTCAGTACTGCTCGAATGCTAAGTACAGTAGCAGTGTTTATCCAAGGTTGTACCTGGCGCAGGCGGCTAGTTCCTGCGGCTCCAGTTCCAGCACGGGCTCGGGCAGGGCGGGGGGCGGAGGCGCGCGGTCGCGGGGCGCGGGCGGCGGCAGGTCGCCCGGCACCGGCGTCGCCGGCCGCTCCACGCTTCCCGCCCGCTCCAGCGGGACCCGCTGCCGAATAAAACGTAATTTTTATTCAACCTTTAACTGACGTGGTTTTCGTCTCCCAGGCGTAATTTCTATAACATTATAAAAAAATTTGATGGCGCCCTCATAAAAATTTAGATTATTCTCAAAATAAACAGTTTAGGTTGTTTTTATCTGCAGTTATGACTTAGTTAAATTAGCAATCATTTACAATACTTAATGCGGTTTAGAATTGTTTGGTTTATGTAATTTAACAGATCTCATTCTAGATACGTCTGTGAGACACCCACTGCGGTGTTAGGGTAACGTTTAGACCAGGATGTCAGCCTTTGCTTCCTACCTACTCTCTATCCAGCCTGGATTAAGGTACTCCACAACATCAAAATATGTTGTCGCTTACATGTCCTTATCCTGGATTATCTCGTGAATTCATTAAGTATTTACTAGATTTTAAATGTACTAAATAACATTGAATTATCTTTATCATATTCTCAAATAGACAGGAAGTAATAGAAAAGGTATAACAAGCCGAAAGGATGAACAACTTTCCCCCTGGAACATGGGTCGAAATATGAAAAAATAATTTGCACCTCCCATACGAAATCGCTGATCAACTAATTGATTTACTATGGGAGGTCCAATTTTTTTTTTTCATATTTCGACCTATGTTCCGTGGGGAAAGTTGTTCAGTTTCATAAGTACCTTGACCTCCTTTCGGCTTGTTATACCCTTTCCGTTACTCCCGTATATGTATATCATGTGCTTATCATGGCCGTGTGAGGCCGGCTTAGAATCGAATAATTCCATATCTTTACCGTGGGTGTTGAGAGAAGCGACTTTGGGATTTGAGAGTTGACCAATGTGTACTGCAATTTCAGGCGACAGGCCGACAACGTGTCACTATATGGTGATACACAGTTTTCTGAATGACTCTCAAACTTTTGTCGAACGTGGTGTAAACGGCCGTTTGTATGCTTATTTAATCTTTTGTCTTGTTTCGTTATCTCCAGTACGGCCGTTCGAATGAGCCATATTTGGCAGCTGGCTATGACATAAAGTAATATATTTTTTTTGGCATGTCTGCTAGTATGGGTTTGACAGCTATAAAATATGGCCTATTTCAGTCAGGCCGTTCTTTAGTTTGTCATCATTCAAATATTTGCCTCGGCTGGGAATCGAACCCAGCTTGTAACTGCTTTTACAGAGCGGTTCCGCGGCGGTACGTTGAACACGGTGTTCTTGATTGCTACAAATTATCAAGAGATCGAATTCCGCCACACACACACCCATTTCGATATCGCCTAGTTTAAATAGGGCATTTGGCTCACATTTTTGCCCATACATAGAAAAACACGTCATCTGACTTCTACCAAAATGTATCATAGGAAACATGCGTAATGTACTGGTACACTTGAAAATTTTACAGCATTTTTTTACAACGGTAGATTAGATTTTTTTTAAACTAGTCAATATTATGCGGGGTGAAATTTTACTAGTGACCGACAGCGAAAACCCAGAACCGGCTGGTGATAAGGAACAAATTTCCCCAAAAAACATAGGTCGAAATATGACAACCAATTTATTTTCTCCATATTTTGGCCTATGTACCTTGGGGAAAGTAATTACTTATCACCAACCGGTTCTGAGTTTTCGCTGTCGGTCACTAGTAAAAGGATCATGCCCAATCTAGTATGGATGTTCGTCCATTGCTTGCCTCACTACTTGCAGGCCTCGCATCAAAGCCAAAGTTAAATATGTAATTATAAAGTCTAATTATTGCTTAACATTTTGTAACTGAAAATAATTTAATTATGACAGGAGTCCTGAAGTTATTGAATGCTAAAGTTGGGTATCGGAAGAGACAAAAGTTCTGAAGTTTGGCTGTATATCGAGTATTTCGTTCATAAATCGTTATCGTTAGCTATACCGAAGTTAACAGTGCAAAAAAGATTCACACCACAGTAAAATCTTTGGGGAAAATACCTAATGGGAAAAAGACATTTGCCGTAGCTATTCTTTATTAGAATGAGGGATATTACATATTGCATTAGGTGCATAATGTCCATTTTGCAAAATGTCCAGTGGCGAAAAAATGTCTAGTTTGCATAATGTCCAGTTTGCAAAATGTCCAGTTTGCAAAATGTCCAATTGCAAAAAGTCCAGTTTGCTAAATGTCCAGTTTGCAATAAGTCCAGTTTACATGAAATACTGGGTCACTGACCAGTGTGTTTTGGGGAAAGTTGTTCGCTTTCATGGTCTGAACTCAAACCTTAATTTCGCTAATTGTACTTTTGCAAACTGGTAATTTTCAAGTCAGATAATCTTCAAACTGGATATTTTGCAATTGGACATTTTGGAAACTGGACATTTTGCAAACTGGACATTATGCAAACTGGACGTTTTGCAAACTGGACATTATGCAAACTGGACATTTTTTCACCACTGGACATTTTGCAAAATGGACATTATGCACCTAAAGGTGCTTTAATTTTCGTTTTGAGGCGAGACAATTTCTTAGACCAGAAATGGGCAATCTCCTTTCACCAAGTATTGATGAGATACTGACCAAGGGCGCGACCGCTGAGTCGTCGGGGCCTAGTCATGTATCCTCTCGTTTGACGTTCAATATGGCGGCTCTGCACATCGGACATTCCTTCAGCAGCGACGTGCACAGCGAACAGAATCCCCTGTAATGCACAAAATTAAAGCTTCACATATCACAAAATTGAAACATCACATTTTAAACCATAAGGCTTAGTCAGCATTTAATCTGTAGCGATAAGTGCCGATGTACCGATGGTGAAAGGTCGTGGTTGTTTCACCTTCAATTCGGATCATCAGGTATGGAAGTGTCCATACATACTTCAACCTTTTTGGTTATCGCTTCAGCTTTAACACTGACTAAGTGAATAAGGTTCACTCTGTAATGTGTACAAGTAGCTTATCTTTGAGGAAGAAACTCACAAGCGTTGTCGCAAGACACTCGTGAGACCGATGCCTCGCAGATTCGCATTAATAAGCCGCCTGGACAATACCTATCTTTAAATTTAAGGGTTATGGAAACAATAAAATATTTTCCATTGAAGTAGTTCAAAGACACCATTACAAATAGACACCATGTACCTTTAGACAAAAAACTAACGACGAGCATCAAGAGGTTGAAAGATCAGTTGGCAGAGCAGTGCGTTGGTACCGCACTGTCCCGGGTTCAAGTCCCGGCCGACGCTAATGAATTTTTCAACATTTCTTATTTTTATTTATAAGAATATTTAGCACTGTGAGTGCATTAAAATCCAAAGCAGAGCGTGCACGAGTCCTCCTTCACGCTCGAGCAACGCAGCTGCTCCAAGAATATCCGCCGCGGGATCACCTGCACCCAACGACCCGATGAACCCTCTTACCTGTGTCCGCAGGGCTCCAGCACGCAGCACGCGGTGTCGTCGAAGCAGAGCGTGCACGAGTCCTCCTTCACGCTCGAGCAACGCAGCTGCTCCAAGAATATCCGATCACCTGCACCCAACGACCCGATGAACCCTCTTACCTGTGTCCGCAGGGCTCCAGCACGCAGCACGCGGTGTCGTCGAAGCAGAGCGTGCACGAGTCCTCCTTCACGCTCGAGCAACGCAGCTGCTCCAAGAATATCCGATCACCTGCACCCAACGACCCGATGAACCCTCTTACCTGTGTCCGCAGGGCTCCAGCACGCAACACGCGGTGTCGTCGAAGCAGAGCGTGCACGAGTCCTCCTTCACGCTCGAGCAACGCAGCTGCTCCAAGAATATCCGCCGCGGGATCACCTGCACCCAACGACCCGATGAACCCTCTTACCTGTGTCCGCAGGGCTCCAGCACGCAACACGCGGTGTCGTCGAAGCAGAGCGTGCACGAGTCCTCCTTCACGCTCGAACAACGCAGCTGCTCCAAGAATATCCGCCGCGGGATCACCTGCACCCAACGACCCGATGAACCCTCTTACCTGTGTCCGCAGGGCTCCAGCACGCAACACGCGGTGTCGTCGAAGCAGAGCGTGCACGAGTCCTCCTTCACGCTCGAACAACGCAGCTGCTCCAAGAATATCCGCCGCGGGATCACCTAAGAAATACACCTCTTTTTAGGACGATATGCACTACGAAAAAACGGGAGTATCAAAAAGAGTTTAACAAGCCGAAAGGAGGTCAAGGTACTCAAGAAACTGAACCAATTTTCACATGATATAGATCGAAATATGAAAACAAATTAGGACCTCCCATAGTAAATCAATCAGCTGATCGGCGTTTTGTATGGGAGGTCCTTTTTTTCATATTTCGACTTATCTTCCGTGAGTTGTTCAGTTTTATGAGTACCTTGACCTACTTTCTGCTTGTTATACCCGGTATACGAACCACGTGGATCGTATTGATGAATGATATACTCGATAGACACACTGTTGATATGCACGCGTATCTTACTTATCCGTAGCTTGTAAACTATCCCGCTTTCTATCTACGCATAATCTTACCCAAAGTTTGCTTTCAGAACGAAATTGCTACTCTAGCAATAAAGCTGACTGTTTTGTATTTTGTCTTTTCATATAAGTTACATTTGTTTTTTATTTAATTTCTTGTACAATAAAGCATATTTGTATTGTATTTTGCCGTTTACTGCCGGCTTAGAATAGCATCACACCATATCTACCCGTAGGTGTCGTAAAAACCGACTAGGGGTTGAATCCAGGGAATGGGCAGCAGCCTTCTCTGTAAATACAACAATCCGCCTGCCAAGCGTGGTGAGTATAGCAAATATACAGGGTTATTTTTTAGTCAGTGCGCAAACTTTGCAGGATGTTTCTACTCGTGATTCTGAACAACATTTACTATGGGGCCACCTGCGAAATCTAAAAAAAATTTTTGGTTGTTCCATACATTTTTGCCGAGTAGGTATGAATTTTTCTATGGAAAATCCAATTTTTTTTTGCGAATTCGCAGGTGGTCCCATAATAAAAGTTGTTCAGAATCACGAGTAGAAACACCCTGCAAAGTTTGCGCACTGACTAAAAAATAACCCAGTATAAGGTCCTATTAAATTCACTGCAAATATTTTAAGGGCTTGCGTAAATATGTAAAAGAAAAACATCTAAGGTATTTTATTAACAAACAAACTTTTTAATTAATTACGTGAACACCTTTCATTGACCTTCCGCCACGTAGACAGGATTCACATACACGACACGCACACCAACGACCAACCAATCACAGCGTTTTTTTTTAATTTGGCGCGTAATCACCGAAATGGTGATTGGTGCGGTGTGTTTCTAGGACAAACAGGGTGCACTTTTTCCTATTGTTTTTTTTTTAGTTATATGCAATTTTCTCGAAAACTAGCGTGAGGATTTTTTTGAAAATTTACAATGAACATGCTAATATTTTATTTGATCTGCCCCTAAAATATTTGCAGTGAATTTAATAGGACCTTATATAGGGGGAGGCCCATGTCCTGCAGTAGACTGTTGTGGCTGTTATAGTAGTAGTAGTAATGTATTATATTTGTACCTTCTTATCCTCGTCGGCTAGTTGTCCGTGGTCGTTGAAGGACTTGAAGGGTCGGTCGGAAGGCGGGTAGCGGTAGGGCTCCGCGCCGAAGTTGAACCGGCACTGCTGGAACGCCATGAAACTCGCCGCCGCGAAGAAACCGTACCTGAACGAACAATGTTTTATACAGGCTTCTTATTCTTAGAGCCGATGTGGCGCAGTGCTTAGTATGCCTGCCTGCCACGCAGAAGGTTCCGGGTTCAATTCCCGGTGGGGTCAGCCACAAAGTTGATATTTATCACATTGTGTTTTATCCAGTCTGGTTAGGACATTACAGGCTGAACCATCTGATTGTCCGAAAAAGCGACCTTGTCACCGTTCAGGTAAAACAAGACCTCTCTAGCTTCCAGGTCTATGAGGCAGCCCAGCACTGCCCCATCCACACCAGCTTACCTAGTGGTGTCGAAGATCTCAGTCTGCTTCGCGACCTTGTCTCCGTTCAGGTAGAACAAGACCTCTCTAGCTTCCAGGTCTATGAGGCAGCCCAGCACTACACCAGCTTACCTAGTGGTGTCGAAGATCTCAGTCTGCTTCGCGACCTTGTCTCCGTTCAGGTAGAACAAGACCTCTCTAGCTTCCAGGTCTATGAGGCAGCCCAGCACTATTCCACTTACCTAGTGGTGTCGAAGATCTCAGTCTGCCTGGCGACCCTGTCTCCGTTCAGGTAGAACAAGACCTCTCTAGCTTACAGGTCTATGAAGCAGCCCAGCACTACCCCACTTACTTAGTGGTGTCGAAGATCTCAGTCTGCCTCGCGACCCTGTCTCCGTTCAGGTAGAACAAGACCTCTCTAGCTTCCAGGTCTATGAGGCAGCCCAGCACTGCCCCATCCACACCAGCTTACCTAGTGGTGTCGAAGATCTCAGTCTGCCTGGCGACCTTGTCTCCGTTCAGGTAGAACAAGACCTCTCTAGCCTCCAGGTCTATGAGGCAGCCCAGCACTGCCCCATCCACACCAGCTTACCTAGTGGTGTCGAAGATCTCAGTCTGCTTCGCGACCTTGTCTCCGTTCAGGTAAAACAAGACCTCTCTAGCTTCCAGGTCTATGAGGCAGCCCAGGACGTCGCCCGGCTGCCACGCCGGCACCTCCTTCATGGCGACCGGCCGCGCCTTGTACCACACCAGCTTGCGGCAACCGTCGTACGACAGTGAATATAAGTCGTCGCCGATGCCGTAACCTTCCTGGAATGATAAAGTTATTTGAGTGTACTTCAGTACATTTCCAATGTAGTAAATACTAAATACTACTAAATGAATTCGCAACGATAATCCAGGTTAGGAACAAAAGCGACAACATGTTTTGTAACGATAGAGCATTCTAGGCAGGAAAACTGATGAAAAAAGAAACAGTATTTCTTATTGAGAAGAGAAAACAGTTCGCATTAGCTCTTTACACTTTCTATGATGATATACAAATCGATTTATAATTGTACCGCCGACTTGCTTACTACGGTGGCTCAATGACACAAAGAAGATCTTGGAGGCAATTGGCCAGTTGCAAATTATTCATTTGAAAAGACTTACGTGGTTCAAAAAGTGACTGTTTTTGGTTGCCCAACCGATCTGCATAACGCCAGGCGTGACAATCACTGACTCGTAATACCAACAGCCTTCATCCACCTAAAAAGAAATAAAGTATTATTCGGAGTCTCTATTATTCTCGAATCTTATATAGTCCTTCAGAACTTCGTAATGATTGCGAACATACGACGTTTTTTGAACTTTTAGTTTTTATTTCGTTCTCTTGAAATCGGACCGTTTTCTGCAACATTTTTATGTTTTTAGCACTTTACGTCGGGCAATGGTCTGGCTTCAAACAGCTTACTGTGTTCCTTCGCAGTGCGGGATGTGGAATTCCACCGCCCTTTTGATTTTCTATGTAAGGTCATCCATTTTATACATAGCCAAGGATTTGGCTTGGTTCACGGGGTGTAAGAAACAGGGTCTCAGTATACTGATAGGGTGCATTCATACTGAACAACTTCCCATTAGATATTTTTTAGGAAACACCATATTTTTTTTGAAATCCCGTAGTAAATGCAGTCAGCTAATCGTGATTTTGTGTGCGTGGTCGATTTTTTGTCGTTTCCTAACATTTTGTTCCTAGGGGAAAGTTGATTAGTGTTATGGTATGCATGGACCCTATAAGTATTCGGAGACCTGTCCCATATAAAAAATATATATGTAGAAAAATAAACTCTATTTTACCTGGAATGTGCACCGCACGCTCTCGAAGGAATACGAGTCGCACCTAGCTTCCAGTCCGTTGCTGGATATCTTGAGGTACTCGGACACGTCCTGCGTGTTCAGGATCGCGTTGTAAGGAGACATGTCCACGATCTCGTACGACAGCTTGCGCCCTTCCACGATAACTGCAATCATAAGCAAAACATGTTTTTTTACCCGACTTCCTCAGAAGGAGGGTTATGTTTTTCGAGAGTATGTATGTATGTATGTGGACAAGAAAATTCCTTTTCACGGGCTACAGCTCAAACGGATAGATGGATTTTAACAAATGAGGTGTCCTTAGATTCGTCTCAGCAGCGCGAGTGACACTGGCTATATTAAAAATAGAACTAGATTCAAGATGGCGGATTTTTACAGCAAAATACTACTTTACGGCAGTCGGGTTTTTTGTTTTTTATTTAACATATCGACTTGT